TCCTGGCTCAAACCCACAATTCCTGACTCCTCTGTTAATATAAATGGATATACAATATATCGTAAAGACAGAGAAAATCGTGTGGATGGCGGTGTATGCATTTATTTATCCAATATTATTACCACAACTTTCAAAATTAACCTTAAGCTAATAGATATTACTGGAATAGATGCAATTCACTTATCTGTTACTAAAAATTCTTTTTGCCTTAATCTAGTATGTATATATCGTCCACCTAATACACTACTTGCACACGATAATGTTTTCTTCACAAAACTTGAAGAACTATCATCTCTTGATAATCCTTATCATTACTGGAGATTTTAATTTCCCAGAGATCACCTGGCCAATAACTTCATTATCTGACGCCGAAAACGCTCATAATTTATTTAAAAGCTTTGTAGTAAATTCAAACCTGATACAACTCATTACAGAACCTACTAGATTTAGGAATAATAACCAACCTTCCACTTTAGATCTAGTGCTTATTAATGACGAACAGCTGATTTCATCCTCAGTCAGTTCTCCATAGGAAAGTCAGATCATGCAGTTATAACGGCTCACATCCAGTTCAATCAAATATTACCCCGCAAAAATAACATTGTAACATATGCTACTACCGACTTTTCTGAAGTTGACACTGAACTCTCTCAAATCGACTGGCATTTATTTTTTGCAGACTTAAACGACCCCTCATTAATGTGGACTGCATTTCTCGATAAAGTCCACAATATCATTTCTACAAATACTATTTTCCGTAAGAGTTATAAAAACAACCTCAAACCCTGATAATCGAACAGCAATTAAACAAATTAATACAAACGACATCTATGCGAAATTTAAACACACCGCGCTTCTTCAATGATTTAAAAACCGCTCTCAAAAACCCTAAAACAAAATTTTGAAGCAAACGTTATTGAAAGTGGTAACATTAAAAAAGTCTATAAATACATACGTTCCTCCATGACATCTAAAGTTTCCATTCCGCTACTTCAAAAATCCAACCAGACTTTATGCTCTTCTGACAAAGAATCTGCCGAAACTCTGTCTTTAGCATTTTCACAAGTTTTTACTAAAGAATTAAATGATGGTTATCTACCTGCTGTTAACTGTAATCGTGTCGGCGCATCCTTACAGCAAGTTGAATTCACAGTGGAACATGTCAAACAACACTTAATTAAACTTCGCACGGCCGCTTCACCTGGTTTAGATGGTTTAACACCAAAACTGTTAAAAAGGTGCGCAGACACGCTTGCAATACCCTTAACGTTAATTATGCAAACCTCTTTCATCCAAAACTCCTTACCCCCTAGTTGGAAATTAGCTTCCGTTACCCCTATTTTTAAAAAAGGCAACAAACTCGACCCCAACAATTATCATCCGATTAGCTTGCTGCCAGTAGTTGCCAAAGTTATGGAATCCATTATTTCCGAGGAGATTACCAAATTCCTTCTCCAGGAACATGTTATTCCAACACAACAACATGGATTTGTCTCTGGTCGCTCTACTCTAACCAATCTCCTACATTGTGTTAACGACTGGACCTTATCCCTTAACAGTTCGCAGCCGGTCGACGTTGTTTATCTAGATTTTTCTAAATCCTTTGACCGTGTACCTAAGCGCAGACTTCTACATAAGCTAGAACATTTCGGAGTTCGCGGTACTTTACTTCGTTGCATAGATGATTTCCTGACAGATCGATATTACAAAGTTAGCGTTGGCGAATCTTTCTCACAGGACAGGTTAGTGGAAAGTGGAGTGCCTCAGGGTTCTGTCCTTGGACCTCTGCTTTTTACGGTTTACACCAGCGATATTCCTTATTATGTCTCAAGTAAAATATCGTTTTACGCTGACGACACAAAAATATATGCCAATCCAAACACAAACCAGCTAACCCTCCAAATGGACTTGGACTCTATTTTAACTTGGTGTTCCCAGTGGTTACTACCCTTAAACGCGGAAAAATGTGTAGTGCTTCGAATTGGCAAAAATAACCCACTTGTGCCGTACTTTGTTAACGGGCAGCCATTAGAATCTGTGTTTTCGTATAACGATCTTGGTGTTATTGTGAACAGCAGCTTAACTTGGTCCGATCATATTACCTCTATTTGTAAACGTGCAAACTCCAGACCGTATCTTATTCGGAGGTGTTTTTCGGTAGTTTCAATGCAATCATTTTGCAAACTTTACACTCTGTACGTAAGACCCATACTTGAATACGCTGGACCAACGTGGTATCCCGATCTGGTTCGAGACAAGACTCTGTTGGAAAACGTTCAAAGAAAAGCCACTCGAATTTCTTTGAGACCGAGAAGACCGTCTTATGCAGAAAGACTTAGTATGGCTAACCTAACTACTTTTGAACTTCGCCGACAACGTGGAGACTTAATTACAACATTCAAAATACTAAAATTCAATTTTGGAAACCTCGATGAAATATTTATTATAAACCAAGATGAACGCCTCAGAGGTCATCAATATAAACTAAAGAAAGAAAATTTTTCTATAAGACAAAGACAGAACTTTCTTCCAAATAGAGTTTTTGAGTGCTGGAATAACCTCAACGATAACATTGTCTGCGCTTCCTCTACCAACTCGTTCAAAAACAGACTCGACAGTTTTATATTATAGTTGAAATATTGTTTTTCCTTTAAACCAAAAATTGTAATTTTATTTCTTTTAGTTGTAATTTTTGTTATTTACTAGTAGGTGATAAATGAAATTTTCTTTATTTTTGGGCATAATAGGGACTTAGTTCCTCTGCCCTCGCTTATATTATAATAATAATAATAATATTTCACGGCAGGAAGATCTTGCATAGACCACATATATACACTCCAACAATTAATTGAAAAAAAATGGCAAAAAATAGACCAGTACACATGGCATTCATAGTTTTATAAAAGGCATATGACACGGTTCCCAGAAAACAACTATGGAACACGATGAAGGAATTTGGAATAACACAGGGGTTAATAGAAGCCGTAAAAAACCTTTAAAACAACAACAAGAGTTAAAACCGGCAATAAATATTCCAACGAATTCGAGACTTTGTGGTTTTCCACAAGGTTTATTGCAGGAATGCTCTACATATCCGACACTGTTCAAGATATTTCTCGAACAAATATTAAAACCATGGGAAAGGAAATGTGTAGGGATAGGAATACCAATCCGGGACAACTTCTTGTACACAATAAGCTTTGCAGATGACCAAGTGGTAATGGCTCAAGATGAAGAAGATATGTGCTATATGCTCCGAAAATTAGAAATTTAGATTTAGGAGGTTAAATTAGAAAATTAGAACGGAAATACATCAAAAATTGATTGGAAATATACCTAGAATAGACCGAATATTTAACAACAGAGCAAGAACCAGTGAGAAACTTGGAAATAACTAATGATAGAGAAATTAACGGCACTGAAAAATTCAAATATTTAGGATTCATACTCTCAAAAAATGGAACCACCGAGCAAGAAATAATCAGCAGATTAGCATATACAAGAACATGTATTAAACAAATGAACGGGATACTGTGGGATAGACAGATTACCAGAAAATCAAAGAAGTGAATTTATAATAGCTTGGTACGTAGTATATTGACCTATGGAGCAGAGAATTGGGTAATAAATAAACAAAACAGGTCCAAAATCACATCAACTGAAATGGAGTTCATGAGAAGAAGCGGCAAAGTAACAAAAATACTACTCAGCTACATCGAAGAAAAAAATGTTTAATTTGGTATGAGAATGTGAGAAGAACAGATCATAGAGGGTGGATAGCAAAGATTTTGGATTGGAGCCCAATAGGAAGGAGGAACAGAGGTAGATCCCGAAGATCATGGAGGGATGAAGTTGACGAGGCCATGGAAAGACGAGACCTTAGAGATGGAGAATGGCAGAACAGAAAGGACTGGAGACGTTGTCTGAAAGAAGGAAGGCGGCGACAGCTGTAAAAATTCTTATTTAGATAGAGATAGAGATGTAAAATGAAATAATTATAAGTAAGTATAAATAATTTAAAAAATATCCGCAAAAGTTAGTAAAAATCAGGTGCAAGCATCACATTTTGACGAATCATATCTTCGTTGCCGTTAGTCGTAGAAAATTTTACAATAACCATTTTAAATTACAGAAAATTTAGCTTTGTTTTTTATTTTGCATATACCTTAATGTACAAGAAAAAAAGTTATATTAAGAAATTTAAAAAATAGCGTTAAAACTTGCAAAATTTGTTAGCAGTAGAAAGCTTTGAAGAACCATATCTTGCTTAAAATAAGTCCTAGGACCTTCTACAATTGACCGTTTTAAAGGTACTTAATTTTTCTTTATACTAAATGTGTAGGAATAACCAGTTTACATTATTCGTTTGGACGAAATTTGGTTGGAACCCGTATTCGGTTACTAACCATAGTATAAATATTTTATAGTACAAACAGCTTTACATATAAATAGTAAAACATAGCAAAACATTTCAAATTTCTACCGTATAGAAAAAAACGTTGTAAAGAATTTGTGTTATGGTTGTTTAATTATGTAAACAAAGGTATTTTTTATTTATCTTCTTCTTCTTTTTTATAAGCAAAATGCTTGTTCAATGTCGATTAATGCCTCTATTGGAGGTTATCACTCCATCTTTTGCGTGGTCGCCCGATACTTCTTCTACCTCTTGGTGATTTGTCCCTCGCTATTCTGACTATATTTTTTTATTTATAGCCTACCTTATTTACCGATTTACTATTTTTGTTGTATTGGATGTATATAAAGTGATTTTGAGACATGCAGCATTTAGTATTGGTAGTTAGTTAAAAACATTTTATAGAGAATTTGTAAGATTTGTTAGTTCGACATTTCAACATTTCGCCCTAAGCCTACAAGGTGTGTTGAATATTGTAAAAAAAATTTCGAGATGTCAAATACAGTCCATCTAAAAGAGTTAAAAGATTTTTTAACGAATAGCTAAATGTACTTTAACTAGTGTTGCAAATTCAATTTGTACATACCTGTTAAGTTTAAAGCATGTGCAATGCTACAGAGAACAAAAAGTCCAAATAGTTGTAAAGTTCTCATGATGTGGGGATTATTACTACTTAAATATAACATTAGTATATTCCATGATATTATATAGTTTTAAAATTATCAGATTTTAAATCAAAAGAGATATGATAAAAACATATTTTATCTCTGTAGTTATAGTATCTAATGCAGAATTATTTGTGAGATTTAACAAGATAGAACTTATAGATATGCCCAGTTAATCTAAAATTTATTTATAAACACAAAATTTATTATAATATCTTATCACTACAGCTGTTTCGGCAGAGTGCTCGGGCTGAAACAACGTTTTCAGTGTTTTATTGTTATATTAAGTATGTAACAATTATTTTTGTGTAATATATTTTTATTAAACTTCACATATTTTGTAGATAAAATAATATTTAATGTACATGGTGATCCAAAACGCGTATTTACAAATTTCTCAACTTTGTTAAATCGATAGCTATATATGTTACCACGGTGTTAGAATGAATTTAATGTACATATTAAATGTTTTTTTAACTAAATTTGACCATACGACTCTTTTAAAAGAAAAATTACAGATACCTATGGTATCAAAAGGATTGAGCTCTGATGGGACTCGGTACGTCGGAGTATCTCCCAAAAAATTTCTTACGCATCTAGATGTTGAGAGCAATACTGCTCTATGCATATTTTTATAGAGATGTTCATTTAGACCCAGGTGTTTTAAGTTCTCTTTTCAATAGTTGGGATAATAACAAGTATCGTCTGGGTACTTTCCATTCTCCATTCTCTCCTTATTGGTATTTTCAGATCTTTGTACTTGGCAATGTTTTCGTTGTATTTAACAGGCAGATTATAATTGTTATGTATCGCCACATTTATTGGTGTTTTCTGTCTAGTAAGTTTATTAACTATTACGAAAACCGGTCTACCATGTGCCACTGCTTGGTTTGTGAGCACAATGCGTCCCAGTAAAGTTGTCTTTTTTAAGCACTCTGTCAGGGACATATTAATAATTAAAAAGATGACTTAGGCTTGACATTGTAGCGGTTATATTGCCCAACACACAGGGTATTACTTAGGTATTACTTATAGGGGATTGAAAATTGAAGACAGAAATTACTAGGCTGGAGATAGGCTAAGCAAAACAAACCGAAACATTTGCGAACGGCAAATCTTGGTTTGATTGGAGAGCTCGGCGTGAGTAAGTGAATAAAACAATTGAACTGGATTGGGGTAATTCTTTTTAACAACGCGTTCAAGGGAGGTTGAACCTTAAGATGGCTTAATTCGCAGCATTTTTTAAACACAAAATATGAAATACTTTACTACGTAGTAAAATTTTTCTTCGATGTGCACAAAAACTTAATTCACAATATAAACACAAACATAAAGAAATTTTATAAATAGCTCAGGGGTGTACCAAATAAATTGTATACATTGAATATTCGATGATTATAAGGAATTTATACATGCTATAACATTCACATCGGAATTTGTCGTTTTGAACCTGAAGGTCTTTGACAATACAGTTCAGGTAATTTTTAGTTGGAATAACCTGATCCTGAATGAAACGTAGAAAACCCTCTGTCTCTTGAAACATATTTCCTAATCCTTCCCGTCAATCAATAGTTTGACGCTATATTGTCAAAATATTCTTGGCTGATCTTATGGATCTCCTTTAATCAGGTAAAACATACTGAAATAATAGCCATTCTTCAGCAGGTAGGTATTGATGATAAAGATCTCTGTATCATCAAAAATATTTACTTACATCAGCATGCAAACATTAGGAGAGGTCAGAATAATTCTGAAGAGATTAAAATACGAATAGAAGTAAGACATGGCTGCATTTTGTCCTCACTAATATTTTTTATCTATTCGAAATTTGTTTTCAATGAAGTATTGGATAGTGTTCAGTGTGGTATAAAAATTATTGACATAAATGTTTATAGTTTGAGGTACGTGGATGATACGGTGTTAATTGCAAACATTTACGAAGATCTTCAACATTTGATTAAAGGATTACCACAACGTGTGATGAATATAAACCAAAGCTAAACATCATAAAGACCAGAATGATGGTTCTCAGCAAAATACCAATACAACCAAAAGTGATTATAGCTTATGGAGAATAGCTGGGAAGAACCAACACTATCACTTAGCTAAGTTATAATCTTACGTAAAAACAATATTGCTTTGAGACTGAAAATTATATTAATAGGATGTTATGTGTTCTCTATTTTTTTATATGATGTCAAAGATAGGACAATAACAGATATACTTCTAAGAAAACTTGACGACGTTGAAATCGAGAATAATCTTGGTAGATAGAGTTCGTAACGACGTTGTTTTGCAGCGGATGGGAAAAGTTACGTAAGTGGTCGCAACAGTCAAAAATCGCAAACTGGAATATTTTGGTCATGTTATGCGTCACCCAGAGAAATTTATTATACGTCATTTCTTAATACAAGGCAAGTTAAATGGAAGAAGAGGGCCAGGTCGAAAACAAACGTTATGACGTTTATAATCGTTATCATGTTATATAAACCTGAAAGAACGGTTTAACAGATCCTCTGCATACCTTCTCATTGAGATTTTGCTTATGCAGATGTTTACTCAGCCATGTGCGCATTTTTTTACTTTGTAAGGTGGTTTATGCACATTTATTGTTCCCTCTGTTAATGAGACGTTGTGTCACCTACTGCGCTTATTACTCGATGTAAAACAGATGTATCGGCCTGCGACTTAAATTAGCACCCTGTTTATCTAGTTGCTCGTCTATATCCATCCTCTTCCCCCTTGATATCGCTGTAATGTTTTTCTCTCTACCGCACTATGTGGATGGTGTTTTTGCGCATATGTGAGAAGTATTTTTACTTTTCACCAAAGACTTACTATATCCGTTTTTGACCACTTTTAGTCCATAATATGATAACCAGAATAGTAAAAAACCTCTGAATGTTTTTTATATCCATCGATTTGCTTGAAGCTTTGACAGTAGTTGAAAAATAGCGCAAAATCAAAATCTATCCTATGCTAATATGTGCTTCTCTTTGGGTGGTTACCATACAACTCAAGGGTAAAAAAAATATAAAAAAACATGTTAGTCGCTTGAACAAGTTGAACACAAAAATTTTTGAATTAAGTTTTTTCGAAAAGTCAGTATTTTGGAGTTCATGTTTTTAAAGGTTTTTGCGAAAAACTCCAAAAGGTTTAAATTTATCTGGAAAATGTTAGAATATAAAATAAAGTTTATAAAACGATTCGTTTTTTTATTATTACCTAAACCGTAATTTTAAATAAAACTTAAAAAAACATGTTTAAAAAGACTTTAAAGTGGCTATTGCTAAAAGTGAAAGTATTTGCATGAAAGTAAGGTGAGTACGCCGAAAGTAACAAACTCACCCCCGCCAAAACCATTCTAGTTGAAAAAAATCATTGTTCATTTACAATTTGCTTCATTTATATACAAATATTACAATCTAAAAGTTTAATTGGCTTGGTTTGTTTCACTACTACTTCGAGACACTACTTCGGAGTTTCTCAAACAAATTTTTAAAATACCTCAACAACTAAAAAAAATACAACACAAAAAAAATATTATAATTCAAAAATAGAAAATACAGATACAAAAATTTTTACTAAAGAACTAAATTTACTTGTTGTGTGTGTGTAGATAGTGGATGGCATCAGAACTTGTCTATTTGCCACAAAAAATTTGTATTTTTTTTTTATTATTAAGGATAGGATAGGGATACAAAACATGGCCACTCGTTTCTTGTCTAGGGACCCATCAAGACATTTTTATTAAGACAAACTAGACTAGGTCACGGGCAGGAGGTATTAACAAATGGGGTAAAACAGAGGTTTGGATTCTAATTATATAATGTTTGTAAATACACATATATACATATTTAACCATATATGAGCTAAATTTCTATTTTTGCTTCTAAAACAAACTTGATTAAAAGGTTGTATATTTCTTTCTCTTGTTGTGCTAATAAAGTAGGAATGTTAGTTGGTAGACTTACAAACTTTTTCAGTTCTTGGTACAGCATATCCGTATGTGCAGTATATTTTTGACACTCTAAGAAAATGTGATTTATATCGGCTAACGGTTTTTTTGGACAGTGAGGACAACACGGAGAATCTACGATACCAATCCTAAACAAATGAGCTGGAAAGCGACCATGATTAAGTTTTAAACGTGATATAATTGATGACTTATATCTATTATAATCCCACGAATTGATGTAAGGAATGTTCGTCGGTAAAACTGGTTGAAGTTTAAAATAAAGGTTCTCTGATGTAGTTGAAAATTTACTGTACTGAGCTTCCCATCTAACCCTAACATCAGTCTTATATAAATTAATAAGATCTGATGAGCTGCACATGTTTACTTTCAATTCTGAGTCAAGTGCTTGTTTCGCTGCGAGATCAACTGCTTCATTCCCAGTTATCCCTGAATGTCCTCTAACCCAGACTAATGTAACTCGTACACCATACTCCTGCAGTTTATATAGACTATTTTTTATAGATAGAAGAATATTTTTGTTATAATGGTTAAAAGGAGGACTTTTAATGGCGTGCAAAACTGAGAGAGAGTCTGTTACAATTATCACAGATAAAGGTAAATTCATCTCGCACCAATCTAAAGCTTTCTTAATAGCTATAGCTTCTGCACTAAAAATCGATAAATAATGAGGGACTTGATATTGCTCAACATGGTTAATATTAGAAACTAAAAATGCACAGCCTGTTTTAAATCTTTTTTTTTGATCCATCCGTATAAATGATGATTTTATTCTCTCCTAAATTACAGAGTATAGATTTGAAAATTAATTTTGATAGAAATATATTATCTGGATAGTTTGGAATTATAATGGTTGGTTTAAATATTAAGGCTGGAAAATCGATTTCGTAAATAGGATATTTTTTTGACTATGTATTAGTTCTTTATGTCTCTCAGTGTTAATAAAAGCCTCAGCAAGCGGGGAGACGTTTTAATTCTCCAATATTTGTTTGTAAGATTTTGGACCGCTTTTGTGCTTCTGGTTTGGTTTAATGCCAAAATTAAC